GATTCACTTGAATTGAATGAATTTTTAAACATAATCTCTTCCTGCCTTCCTACACCCACCCCACCCCTCATATAAATCTTCCTGTTGCTCACTCCATCCTGCCTAATTTTCCCTTTCTGGGATTCAGAATATAGGATTTAATGAGCAATGCCAAGCTCCTCCTGCAAGAAGACCCCGACTGCTTAGTGCATTTTCTTGGCTTCTGCTTGGGAGAGACTCCCCGAGGAGAACATTAGTCACTTCCATGATAATAATGGGTAATTTGACTGAAAAGAGACTGAGGTTGGCAGAGGGCATTATTGAACATGCTGCTGTTTTTGCTTCATGGATTTCAAATGACTTGAGGTTTTTCAAAATATGCCAAATGTTCACATAGTGGAGCGCATTGCTGGAATGCCATTTATCCCCTCCGCACCTCTGATATAACTTAAGTTACTTAAAAGCCCAAAATGTGTCACTACAAGACAATCAGCCTCCTTATAAGCATGAGCGTACAGCTATCTTAACCCCAAATGCTAATCGTGTTTACGGAGTTGCAGGCTGAATATGGCTTGCAAACAAACAACACTCCAAACTACCTAAAAGCAAGAGAGTTAATTCCATTCACGAGTCTGCAGATGATCATTAACCTTCCCAACAAGGATTTTACACTCATAGAAGGATTCTGAAACTTTACACTTCCAACCACAGATGAGCCGATTGTTATTGTTAATGTTTTTCTCTTTTGATTTTTTGTTGTTGTTGTTTTTTTTTTGGGGGGGGGGGGTGATCTCTTTTTTAGGTACTTTTGACTCTTGTAGTAGAAATTAGAGTTTGGTGGATCAATCCAAATATCGATAGTATCGATGTTAACGCTGGTATCGGTATTAGATCGACACAATACCCAAACTTCACTTACACTAGTAGCACCTAATCAAGAACCAATCCTGCACATTTACACTGAAAGATAGGAGCTCGTCCCCAAAAAAGTAGCTGCAATCATTTATATTGTAGCTATGGGAAGGGCGCACCCACACAGAACTCTCGGCTGTGATGCCCCCACCCCACTAATTTCACTACATATTCTCTAACCTCCTTCTCAAAAGGCACAGACAGAACTGGTTCCAAACTGAAAGCAAAAAAGGTATTTAAAGGCAATTTGATTCTCTTTGTGCTCACTTTCTGTCTGATTGTGGTGCTCAGTGGTCTTTCTAAATTCTCTTTGTGATCTTTGTGGTCATTTGCCATTGCTTTGTCGTTTTGAGGATCTTTGCCCATCAGTTATAGCCTCTTTGTAATAGCTTTCTTTTCATTTTAGCTTGTTTTGCAGCCATTTCACTGACATTCTTGCAAGAAAAAAGAAAAAACTTTCACTTGGAGCAGGCAGCCTGGTCCATGGACGCCCTGATCCATAAAGCATTTTGTTCTGTGGCACTGTGGTTTTTGTATAGATAGTGGGGTTATTTACAATGCACATACATTTGTATCCTGGAGCTGTTCATCGCAGACAAGGTAACACAGCCTACGCTTTAATAATTTAATAGTTCTTCAATCTTTCAGTTTGGAAAAAGAAAAAAGTAAGTTGCACATGTAGGAAGTAAATATATATATATATGTGTGGCAGCGTCATATCTAAAAGTGTCTGATCATTTCCTTTCCTTTATTTCTGTCATTTCATTCCCAGCAAGCTGACAAAACCCCTGCAGCACAGATGCTTGGCAGTTCTTTGTTTTTCACGTATCCAGGTGTTATAACACTCTCCTCCTGTCTTACACGCCACGTACAAATTCGATGCTGGGGCTCGCACAGATTGAGTGCTAAAGGGCACAACGAATAAAAAAAACAAAACAAAAAAAAAAACTTGCAGGCAAATAAATAGCATATCCATAACACCGAGATTGCCCTTTGTACAATCCAGAGCCCTGCTGACTCTAGCCGTTCCTTAAATTGATTTCTCGTATGCAGCTGCCTCGAGGGGGCGATTCCATTTTCATATATACACTGGCTCTCTTTATATGTATGCCAGCACCCCCCCCAGTTTATTAGTCAAAGAGAGACACAGGCTATTTCATTTGTGAATAGCTTTGCATGCCTTTAAGAGGAGTTTATGACTGGTCTTGCATTTTGTTAAGAGCGATGTGCGGCATGGTGAGAAACTTTTGGGGGGGAAAGAAAAAAAATTTCTGACATTAACAGCTGCTGTAAAGACAATTCATTCATGGCTTGAGGATGAGCGCAACACAAACGTGAGGCCAAGTGTGTGACCCTCGCATGCTTGTGAGCAAGTGCACAAACCGAAGCAGGATGTAAGCAAGTCTCCAACATGCTTAAGCCCAGGCTCAGTGTGTGTGCAGTGAGAGACACTTAAGTGCAGGGGCATAAATCTTCCAAACCCTGAGCCACTGACATTTCCCTCCCCAAGAGACACTGCGAAATATCTTAATTACGCCACTTAACATCACATCGGTGAGTCCCGGGCGAGCCCGAACGAGCATATAATTCATTGTACTAAGCGTCTGTAAAAAGCCAAATACATACACCTTCGAGGATGCGAGTGCAGGGCAGGAGGCGAGCTGGGACTTCAAAGCAAATGTTTTCCTTCAGGAGCCCAGAGAAGGCATCTGCAGAGTTAGTGTAGTAGGAGTACAGGGCATCGAGCTGACTCCTGGAAGAAACCAAAGCTGTCGATGGGAAGTGGTGGTGGTGTGTGTGTGTGTGTGTGGTGGGGGGGGGGGGGGGGGGGGGGGAGTAAAACCTCTTTCTGGCTTTACTCCCTTCACTGATGGATTAGTGTCTGTTCAAAGGCCCCACACTGATAACAGACACAGAGAATCGAGCATCCTACTCATACTTCTACCCCTTGACTCAGAAGCAGTCTTATAATTTGCCTAAGAGCAGATTGTGAGCATTGTCTAACAGGTCAATTTGTGTGGACTTTGCTATCACACTCACATACACACACACACACACACACACACACACACACACACACACACACACACAAAAAGCTTGATAAGAATGGAAATTGGTTTGGGGGTGGGGTGGGGAGGGTGGTGATGTAATACTCCTGCAACAAAAGGGAAAAATAAAGAGTGCGATGAATATCCCAGTTAGGGCTCTATGAACAGTAGTTGCCTATATGTGTCTTTGTTTGACCTCAGCTGGGATTAAATGTAATAATATACGAACGCTCTGAAGCAACGCCGCTCTCTGAACGCGCCCTCTTCATTTTCCTCTCTATCATAACCCAGCACTTTCTAACAGACTATTGATTAAGCCGGTAGAAATATGAGCTGCCGATAAACTGCACAGTCCTTTTGGAAGTGTCAGGGATAATAAACTGTGGGTGTCTGTGGCAGTGAGAACGGGTTGCTGTGGCCCAGTGTGTCTCGGTCAGGTATGCTTCCCAGTCCTTTGCTGTTGGCAACCAAATCAAGTGCACAGTAACTGGGTTTGAACCCAGAGAAAGCATCTACTCCCTTATACTTTAAAACCATACAGCACTTCCTTTAAATCCACTTTTACCTCTTTAAAACTGTGGCACACACAAACAACTTGATCTACCATTTCCATTTTGCTTTGGAACCCTGTAAACCCTCCTCCAGGACACCCCCCCCCACACACACACACACACACACACGCACTTTGAGATCCACTCCCCCTCCTGAAAGACTTCAAAGCAAAAACTTGCAAAAGCAGTATCTGAATGCAACATACTTTAACGACTCGTGGCTTATGGCTTCACTCTTGGCACCACTTTGCAGCGCTCTACCCCCACCTGCCGTTGTGCGTCAGGAAGCCAGAGTGGCCACACTCAAAAAAAAAAGACGAATGTCCTCCTAAAACTCACTCGACTCTTATTTTCCCTTATATTTTAGTTCTTTGGTTTAATATGAACAAGTGCACAATTCACACCAAGGAAAATGATCACCTTGTGCTGCCCTGTCTTTTTTATTTTTACGTGTACTTATCCAGACGGTGGATTTTCAGTATTTTCCAGTGACTGTAAAGCTTCGGAGACTCTCAGCGAGCGACACGATTAAGAAACACAAGAACGATAATATTTTTTAAGGCAAAGAAATGCATCCGCGTGCACGCAGCAGCCACTCAGGTTACATCTTTATGTTGCCCACAGGCTCGCTGGAGCGCGCTCACTCGGATCAAACCGTCACCCCCTTACCCCCTCCCCTCTCCTTCGAATCAGGTGCGCGACGCACGCGGAACCCAATTAACGGAGTAAGTGTAACTCTGCTGTCTCAAATAAGACTAATAAGAATTTTTTTTTATCCACACACACACAAAAGAAGAAACTTTGGGAAGCATCACCGCGTCATTAATCTCACATTATCTCGCACTGCCTGCGCGCGAGGTGCAGACGCTGATGAAGGTGTTGACAAAAACCTCAGTCCATGACAGTGTTTTCTCTACAGTGCTCCTCACAAGACAGAGTGGACAGCGACGAGTGAAAACACACACACTAATAAACACACACGCGCGCGCGAAAAAAGGCGGTGGTCTTTGACAGATATGAGTGGATATTGACGTCTTCACGTGCGCTGCCGGTTTAAGTTGGGAGGAATCAGTGATTAAAGCGGAAAGAAAGGAGAGCTGTTTGCAAATAAGAAAATACAGCAGCGATGTGAAACATGTTTGGGTTTTTTTGTTGTTTTTTTTAAACTAATTGGAGTAAGAGATGATATCCTGGGGAAGTATGGAGTGCACTGCAACACCCTAAAAACCCCACAGGACCCCGTCAGGATCCCTCTTTTCAGCAGGAAAGCATCCTGGCCCCCCTGCAAGACGTGCTTCAACTACAAAACAACGTCCACTTAAACAATCCACCCCTCTCTCTCACACACAAACACACATACACACACTTACATTCACACTCCCTCTCTCCCCTTCAGCTCGCAGCCCTCTCTCTGGCTGCTGCAGACCGAGATGGCAAAATAACACTCAACTTGTCCACAAAGTCACTAAAGCTCGAGGATTGCCACACACTCCCGCGCGCATCCCTTTACCTTGGCCGCCGCAGACGAGCACCCCGAGGAGATGGACGAGTTTGAAGATCATTTTCGGGCGGGTTTCGGGGCTGCCGGACGCCGCTTTGAGCTGCTGTAAAAAAACGACAAGGGCGACAAGCACACACGTTCGGCTCCGTTCATCCGCTGTCTTGGGCTCCGCTTGGCGACTGATTTGCCTCAGCTCCTTTCCTTCCCTTCCTTCCTATGCGCGCGCTCCCGCCTCCCTGCTCGTTCACCGTGTTGCTCTGCGCTGAGTCCCCCCCACCACCACCACTACCTTCACACTCCAGCATTATTCTCTCCAACCTCACTGCTGGTGGAGAAGCAAAGCTACGATGGCTTCAGACATGTGTTATGTTTTTGCCTGACTTTATTGGCTTCTTAAAAAAAACAATTAATAATAAGACATCTTTAATCAAGCACAAGTTTATCTAGTAATTCTGAGGACCCCCTTGTCTAATAGCTGACCTCACCTCACCTACAATCCACCCTTTATAATCTTTTGTCAGAGAGCGGGCAAATGAAGAGGATTTATGCGCAAAACTCAGAGCTTTCTCTGCAAGGCCATTTCATATTAATGTCCTAAATCTTATCATTTATTCTTAATTAGCCCCGCAATAGACAGGTGTACTTTTATCCACTTTTAACGTAGATTTTCTGTGTTTTTACATATATAATTATTTATTTATTATTATTATTATTATTAGCAGTAGTACTACTACTACTTAATAATAATTATTAAATTTATATATTGTTAGTATTTTTCCTCTTCTTCTTATAATTATTTGTTTATTTTTGTATTTTATGTTTATACTTATTTATTTTTTGTATTCTTATTCTGTCCTTAATGTTGAGCAGTTTGGTCAGCACTTGCTGTTTTAGTACTTTATAAACAAAGCTGGCTTGGCTTGGAGACCTAATCAGGGTGTAGCCTGCGTCTTGCAGTTGACCCCATTCCCCCCCTTCCCCCCCCAACACACACACACACACACACACACACACACACACACACACACACACACACACACACACACACACACACACACACATTAGTTGTCACCCCAGTTAAGTGGAATGGAATAGATGGATTGACTAATCACTTATTCTTAATTAGCCCTGCAATAGGCTGCTGAATGTCCAGGGTGTGCCCGCCTCTCACCTCTCAATGGATGGATGGCTCAAACGATACCACTGTGCATTTACATAATTTACACTTCAAGCAACAATAAATATAACAGGTATTGCTGCTAAGGACAAACGCATTCTCAGCCAGTCAAAATCTCGATGCCACGCTGCACAGCAGTTGGCAGACAGTGGTGCTCTGGTTCGAACTGTCACCTCACAGTGGGTTAGAATCTGCTGAGGACTTTCAGCATGGCGCGTTCCCATGCTCCCTTTTCTCCCCCACAGACCAAATATATGCATGTCAGGTTAATTGGGGAATCTCAATTGGATGTGCCTGTGAATGTGAGCATGAATGGTTTTCTATCTCTCTGTTATGTGGCTGTGTGACACCCTGTCCAGCGTGTACTCCACCTTTCTCACACTGACAGCTGGGGACCTATCCAGAACTGGATAAGCAGTTAAGAAAATGGACTTGAAAAAGCATTTTTGTGTCTTCTTAAGCTTTTCCCCTCTGATAGAATAACTCAGATATAGCTTCTTGTACATTACCTGCCCAGCTTAAACAGAAGCCAAACAATATGATCACTACTATGTACTCAGACATTAAAAAGTGGACAAACTGTCAGCTGTAAAGATGAATCTTCTCAGTAAGATTTTGGTTGAATCACAAAATGTACCTTAAAATATTGAACATCTTATTTTTTGCCAAGAAGGCTGCAATTTTGCCATGTTGTATGTACAACAGTACACTTATAGCACAAAATCAAGGGGGAAAAATACAATTTTAAGTATGTTAGGAAACTACTTCAGCAGTTTGTCTAGCAGCTGAGGACCAGTGTTACATAGTTTGTCTACCAGAGGGCCCTGTGCAACTTTTATGTTGGCATCATGCATGTTTGCACTGCCACAAAAACCAGTTGATCTGAGCAGAGCTGGGCAGAGTGTGAACAAGCAATAATTTATTCTTTAACTGCACAGTCATAATATCCTAGTAAGGGATCATAAAGAACTACACATAACAAATGTTTCATATAATGTCTCAGATTTTGTAATCAAAAAAATATCAGTATTGGTATCAGTCTTAAAAGTCCCATATTGGTCTGGTTAATTCTATTCATTATATTAATAAATAATGAAGTAATGATGTTTACTAAATGGTTAATAACTGATTTGTTGATGTTGTAACGTTTCACTAGATCTTTACAAATACTGTAAATGATTAATAAATACTCTGTAGTTGATCTATTTGTAGAATTTTGCGCTATCTGGCTCTTATAAACTTGTATCTTATGTTTATAGTATATAATCAGGCAGGCTGGATTATATTGGTCTAAATGGAAAGATTATGAGTCTTTAGTTATGTTCAGGAAAAGATCATAATCGATAAGACTCATATATTAGTGGACACTTCTGCTACAGCCTCATTGATTAGTAGTGAAACCTTCATCTGAAATCAATAATAATATTTGGTAATCACTAACAATTACAATACATTATCTTAAGTTTAACATGGGATAAAAAATTGACTTTCTACCTCTTGCAAGGCATAGCACTAATACTTAACCATATAGAAACTAGTTAAATCAACTATAAATTGAAAACTTACTTGCAAATAAATTAAATTAATAATTTAAGACTAAAATGACTACTAACTGATTCTTAACTTACTTATTACACTTATTAACAAGTGTTAATGCAGTTTTACAAGTATACTTAAGCATAAGCATACAACCTCTTATACAGGCAGACTTGAAGCTCTCCTGCTGAGAGCAAATGGGGTGTTGAATTAAAACTCTGAGTAACTGAGTAGCCAAAAAAAGAGTAAGTTAATGAAATGTATGGTGTCTTAGTTTGAGAGATATTGTGTATTTTATTAATGCAGCCTCAATAAACTGGGCAATAAAGAAACGCCTGAAGCTTCCCTTAAACATTTTGTAAAAATCACTTGATGGTCTGAGGTAACATGGCATTCAATTGCAGGATGGACTTCAACCCACAGTGGCCTCTTCGGGTTCCATTTCAGGATAACAACAACTCATTTTCTGCTCATAATTTGACCCATATTGCTGTGCTCCTAACGGACATGTGTAAAAAGGGCTCCATGGCTGTAATTCCCCAAAGTCGCCTGACAGACTGATGCAATGAAGGCAACTGCGGCAGATAAAGAAAAGTCCCGACCTACCTAACAGCCATCCAGAGGTGAGTTGTCGGCTCTGGGATTTTGTTACGGTGCAATTTGTGTCAAACTTTCTAAGTGGAAACTGGGAAGGTGTGAAAATGAAGAGTAACAATCGTTTCCCAGTGAGGTCTGGCTGGACAGCAGATTTGTATTTTAAGTATTTAACAGACCATTGGCCTCCTAAATTCAGACTTTCTTTTGCAACTACAACAAGATTCATACTTTCTTTAATTTCTATTTTTTCTTAAAATTGTTATAAAAAAAGAAAATGAATCTGATATAAAAGAACTGAACCTTCATGTATTTCTACTGTGTTGAGAGTTGATAAAGTCAAATGTGAATAATCATTCCTTGAAATGTATGATGTACCTCCCCTTTTTACACTTTTGGAAAAGCTTTAACACTCCACTAATTTCTGTTACTGTTGCAGCATAACAAAGTCTTCTGCACCGTAATATCTGTAAGCTAACTGTGACCTTTGCAATATCACAGCCTATACCACATTTCCTCAAGCACTGTACATTTGGATTGGTATTACACCACTACATGATGGTTTTGATGTTATTATGCCGTGTCCATTCTTTGGTAGACACTATAGCATGAGAAAATATATGATTTTAATTGTTTTAGCCCCATGGCTGATTTAGTAAAGTAAAATGTCTACCTACTCTTTAACAGGTTGATAAAAGTGCAAATGTAATGCAGAATATTCTAAGCCCTGCATGAACTACCCCTGACATTAACTATTCTACATTTATAAAATGTTTTAAAGGAACAGAAGCTTTGCCTGTAGAAAGAAGGTCTTGGATGCAAATGTAAGGTTTGGTCTGTTACTGTCATGGTCCTGGGTCGCTGACCCTTGTTTTGAGGTTATTGTTATTATTTTCTAGTTTATTCTGATTTTGAATTAGTTCTTTGGGTTTAGCTCTTGTGTTAAGTGTTTTATTATTCCTACCTGTGTTCTCCCCTCTGTGCTCTGTTGGTGTCTCTGAGTTTGTGTTTGGAAAACAGTCTGTTTTACTTTGAAGGTCTGTGTTTCGTTTTGCTCATTAGTTTCAGCTGTTTTTCCTCCTGAGTGTCACTTCCTGATTAACTTGTGTGTGTGTATTTATAGTGAGGGTCTACCTCTGCTCCTCATTGGGTCGTCTGCATTCCAGAGTTTTGTCTGCTCAATACTTTGTAACATAACCTTTGTTGGCAATAACAATGTTACAAAGTATTGAGTTGAATTTTTGTTATTGACCAAATACTTATTTTCCACCCTAATTTACGAATAAATTCTTTACAAATCCTACCATGTGAATTCATGGATTTTTTTTTCACATTCTGTCTCTCACAGTTGAAGTGTACCTCTGGTGCAAATTACTGACCTCTGTCATCATTTTAGGTGGGGGAACTTGCACAATCGGTGGCTGACTAAATACTGTTTTGCCCCACTGTATGTGGTATGACCACCTTTTTCTTCAAGCATGAACTATCTGAAGCAGTGTCCCCACTGGAAGTGGCCTCGCAACCAGAAACTATAACTGGTTTCATAACTCCATCAGACCTGTTGCCACTGATTTTCAGTCCAGTTCTTGTATAATGTGGCATACATCAACCTTTTCTCCCCATTTCCCTTCCTGAAAAATGGCTTCTTGACAGTCACCTTTCCACTGACAATATTTCTGGTGAGCCTTTGGCTAACAGTAGATGGATCAGCTGAAGGGCCAGATGCATCTCTTAGGTTCTCTGTCAGGTTTTTAGTGGATTTTTCCTATTGCTTAAGGACATGACTTTCAGATAATGGGAACAAATGATGTGTTTTTGTGACAGGCTGCTAGTAACAAAGTGCTAAAGATCCCATTTAAAATGGGCACTTTCTGTTATGTGTAGACACAACACAGTTCATCCCTTGAGTTAGGTGCT